CGGAGCCTCGTCACGGCCATGCCGATGCGCTGCTCCATCCTGTCGGCCAGACCGTGATTGCCGTGTACGGGGATGCAAACAAGGATACCTCCACCTTGTTGAACCCGTCGGTCGAGGCGGTTACTGGAGTGTGGCCGCTAGACAGAACCTAGCTTCGAGGAGCCACAGGTAAGAGTTGGGTCCCAGCAAATGAACGTTGGGCGTAGTCTGAATCCGCGAGCTACCTACTACGTCCGTTGCGTTGACCCACCGCTCTATACACCCGTACACCCCGTGTAAGATCATATGGGGCCTTACACATTCTTGGTATCGTCGCATATGACCTTAAGTACAACTTATATGCAGAGCCTTATCGAAAGTTATATTTGCTTGTGTTCCTCGAAGATTCTCAATGTCTAGTCAGTCATTTGATGGAAGTGAGAGGAAGGGAAAAAAGGACATATATGCATTTGTGATATGCATATGAGTTATGCTATCGTATACCTAGTCGATTTTTAAGGTTATATTCTGGTGTCACTCTAATGGCCGGCATCATCAGAGCCCTTTCAGGCCAAATTTTATGCCGAAGGTCAAGGTCAAGCCGTTGGTTTTAAATTTGAAGATAAGTAGAGAATATTATTTTAAGTGTTTTACATGTGAGACCTAAAGATTTTTGCCCCTGTTTTTTGGCTAAATTTCCTTAAATACCGGCCTCTTCATTCAGAACAGCCTGTTGCCATCTCCTTTTGAGTTCTGCTAGTCTATGCCTGTTGTTCACCAGTGGCACTCTGCAATTCTGATTTCGTGCATTCGATTTCTCTCTAACTGTTGTAATTTATTTTTGCATCAATAGCCCCTAGCTGAAATTCAGCCACCTTGTCTGCAAGAAGTTTTTTTAATCACAACTTTCCTCGAGACAAGATGAGAGCAAAAGTCACCGGGTCGGCGTAAGCTCTCGGCCTCTGTAAGTAGGCATGGCTTAACTAAGCCTAAGTCAGAAGGCTTACCTAAATCTAAGTCAGATGGTATTTCTAGTCAGTCGCCACCCATTGAAATTGGTCGGCAGCTTAATCTGTCTGCACTTGACAACTACAATGACTTTATGCTAAAGTTTGGCACTTTGCTGTCAATTCCTGGAAATTTATTCGACGGGAACATCTCCGATATTCCCCCTCAAGAATGTAGGCGTCTCCACTCACTTGTTCACCTGATCGCAAGTGAATCTAGTGATAGACAAAAGCGTTCATACAACTTTCTGTTAAAACATTTTCCTCGATCTGTTCAGCCAATTGATGCTGCGACCAATTTCCTGTATTCATGTGGTTTCAACTACAAAGTAACCGATATTAAAGGCTTGTCCTCCCGTAGCAAAAATCCCCCCCCCCATCTTAGTCAAATTATTTTCATCAATCGAGGTTGACACAATCTTTGCCCATCGAGATCGTGTCATTGCGTACCTGGAAAATGCACAATTTTTCCTTTGTTATGATGTTGCCCCATGGAGCGTAAAGGTTGTCCAGCCCAGCCCGTCTTCTCTGACTTCTGGTTTGGTAATGCTTGTGTTGCCGACCAGGGGGGGCTCTCGAGACGGCGTCCCGTCTCGACAGTGTAAACGACATCGACTCGTGCGTCTCTGTCTAGCTTTCGGAATCGATACTCCATTGAAGGTCCAGAGACGGGCGACCAAAATGACACAAGGTCTGGGAGCGCTGTCTTACGAATCTCGACTGTCAACTCTCAATCTGTTTCCACTTTCCTACAGGCAATTACGTGGTGACGTTATACTTGCATTTCGCATTATCAACGGCCTAGACTGTTGTTTAGATCCCACTGATTATTTCACACAAGCTAACACGCCCAATTTGCGCGGTCATCCCCTAAAACTACGCGCCGGGAAAGCAAGGATCAATGGAAGAAAGTTCTTTTTCAGTCACAGAGTGGTTGCAGCGTGGAATGTCCTGCCCACCGATGTTGCAACCTCCTCCTGTGTGAATTCCTTTAAGTGCAGACTTGACGCGCATCAAGCCTCCCAGTTACCAACCTTACATCCACTCACATAACCTGGCACCAACTCAAACTTGTTTATACTACTTGTAACTAGTTAGTAGCCGTTATTGATTACTCTTTTTGACTAGCTCTCAGCGATTATGTACAAAACCCCCTTTTTAACCTTCTCACTATCAATGTTTTTCTCCGTCGACTTGTAACCAATAGGGAGTTTAAAGGCGCTCGCCTATATTTCCCTTAATAAACTGAAACTGAATAAAGTATACTGATCAAGGAGGATTGGATTTGTCGAAAACTGAGTTGGTTAGTGTCAAGAAGGTCTTATTCTCCGAGGAAATTCGTGACTGATTCCTGACAATTCCCTTCATTTGCTAGTAGAAACATGGAGGTAAGTTCAGGAAGCAGTCGCAGAGAGAGAGAGACACGATCGCTGTAACCCTATTAGCCAGACGTTTTTGTTTCTCACTCGAATCTGCCATCAGAGACAGAGTCCTGCAAGGGTAATGGATTACTCAGGTGCTGCAGTATTTGCAAGATGTAGTTGCTAGGCTGCTACATGTCTATCATAGTTGGCAACTCTCAAGTGCATCACGGCTCGACTGGTAAGGTGGTGAAGCATTCATTTGCCGTGTAGAGAGGCCCCGTCATGCATTTCTTGACTGCACCATTACTCATGGTAGAGAACTCGACCTAGTTAAAATCCGTTTCATCGATGAAAACAGGGGCCATGAAGTGCAAGCAGTTCAGACCAGATGTCAGTTTCAGTAATACCTTTACCGTCTACTCACAACTCTGAGGTTATCTCCTATCTCACTACGTACGACAGCGTTCACTGCCCTACGAAAAGTGGTTATCAAATCTCGGCCTTTTTCCTCTGAGTTACAGACAGCTAAGAGGCGATCTGATACAAACATTCCGTATTATGCGCGGTCAGGGCTGCTTTCTCTTACCTGCTGACTTCTTTCAGTTAGCAACCACACCGAAACACCGGGGTCATCCATTTAAACTTCGCGTGACCGGCGCCAGGTTGAGCATGCGAAGGTTCTTCTTTTCCAACAGAGTGGTCGAGGCTTGGAATGCTCTGCCTGCAAATATCGTCATGTTCACCTCCGTTGAGGCTTTTAATCGAAAGTTGGACCAGTATACCACCAAACATCTGACCGATACCGTCTTAGCGTCTCGCTATAACACTTTATTCTTGTTTTAATATTACTGACTGCATTTCAGTAACGTTTGTTTTTGATCCATTGAATGTGAATGTTGGCTCCAATACGTCTATCTCAGAAGCTGAGATCGCACCAATACTCTACAGCACAATTACGTAGAGACCAAATACTGCACAACACATTCAGTAATGTTAACAATTCGTTATCCGACCGGTTTTAAAAAATATTATGTAGCTGTCTGACGTTTCCATTTCCAAATTCTGATATAATTTACTTCCATGTAACAAACAGGGAGCTCAGACGGTTTTGATTTCCTCGGAGACGTGTTTCATTTCATCATGAGCTTCGCGTTCTTGCGTTATATCTACCTTACTTATTAAAATTCAGTGTATGATAAGGATATAGGCAGAAAATTTGAGAACGCAGTTTACTGATACCAGACACACTCAGATAACAGTTGAAGCACTTTATGTCAGTCATAAATTTCGAGAAAAATTATGGTCATGGGGTAGAAAATCATAAAATTGTTTACCGAACGTCTCAACGACCACATCAAATGCAACAGGGTTCGGCAGTTTGTCGAAGTGATCAGTTAAAACTAAAGCGTCACTTTGATGTGAGTGGCCGTGGATCAGACACGGACGAGGCAGTCCCGGAAGCATTTCCAATGACCAATGGAGTGAAATATGGTTGTGGACTCGCTCGTACTCTCTCCAGCCTGATGTTCTCGCAAAAATGATGGACGCCTGTCGTGAGGAACAGTCAGGGATTACTATGAGAAACATGAGGTCGACAAACAACTGCAGGGGGCGCGGCGCACTCAAGCACGCTCCAGGGTATCTCAGACCAGCACCCTTCGCGGTCGATTGCGCCCTCAGTACAATGACGGAAGCTGCAGCATGAAAGAGCGCCGACCTCACGCATTTCGTCATTGCGCATGTCCTTTGCATATAAATTTTTATTTACCCTAAATTTGTATATAACATGAGTTGTTTAACATTCTTCGCTCTCGTTAATGGGTATTTCCATAGCTCCTCTAGCATTTCCATTCACCACGTCATCTCGCGGTAAATTCTCACAGTTACACTATTCGGCACTTACTGGTCTTGTTTCCTATTGGTTGTTAGTTCCAATAGTTCCTGACCTGCTTCAAATTTTCGAGGCGGTTTGTTCGAATATATTTTATTTGTTAAGAGCTGCCCTTCGTTTACCTTTCAGTCATCGCGCTCAATTCCGTTGGTATACCTAGGCCTAGAAGAAGAGTTGGGAGGAAATGAGTTAATTGTTTAACGTTTTATTGAATTTGTTTCGTTCCCCCTCCGCGGTGATCTCCCACCCCTTAAAATCCCTATTACCACGATCAGCGTGTTACACTGGTTCAGAGTTATTGGTTACGAGGTGGGCTTACAAAAACTACCGTTGCTGGCAGCACGGTCGTCTACACCGAGTCTAGCATCTAACAGGCTATAAACCTGTCTGAAACAACCTGTACAGCACCCATTTGGCGTTCAAAAATGCAAGTCATTATTATAGTTAACTCGAAATATACAACACAGTAGTCCCAACAACACTGCTCTACTGGTCCGCTTGCGCCAAAAAATGTCAGGTAGCTGAACAACTCCCGCTCCAGATGGGTTTGCGGAATGCCGCGATGGACTGGTCACCTCAGGATGGATATCGAGCGACACTTCCATGGCAACGTCGCTAAGGGTATCCGTGCGCCGACTGATCCCGTGGTACATCTTCGGAACCGATGCAATAACTGCATTACAACTTCATCTATTGCTTCCAAAAGGGGCTCCGTAGTATGCCCTACCGCGACTACCACAACGTCAATCACCACCGCCAATGAGCGAAACCCCGAAGCACACCAACGCATCCATCATCCCTACCACTTCTGGTGCTAACACTGTCGACGCCACATCAACCGCTGTCCCCACTACAAGCAATGAGGACTCGCTTCGAACCTATCTTAATAGCCGTGGCGCCTCCACGTCACGCATAGGCCTGGTCAATTATTTGCGTATTCATTGCACGGGACTGACGAACCAGGGCCAACATAGGATCGCCCCACTCGTCTCAACTGGCACCGCCCGCATAGTTACTGCATCAGAAGACCTGGCCGCGTGTGCCCGCATGCAAATCTTTGGTGAACTTCAGCCTCTTCTGAATGCAAGACTCAAGTGGCTCACGCCTTCGCCTGAGAAGCCAGGCAGCGTGTGTGGTACGCGTAGACAGGCCGTCTTGCCTCTTTCAACCACTGCTTCCGCCCCCAGTATCCGTTGGCCGACCAGCCCGGACAGTCATCAACATAGGGGAAAACCAACGTCGCATCCGATGCAGGTGACATTCCTGGCGGCGGCTATTGGGTGGACAATAATCTCGCAGGCAACCGTCAAACACGACAGCCGGATCAACAAACTCCAAACCAATAACCCATTAGCATTCCCAATTCCTCACCGACCTGGGGTTAGCTTGAGTAAAAAAAAAGACCTGGCGCAGAAGGCAGCACCACAGTTTCCCAAAAAGCAGTCGGCCAGCCACGGCTAGAGAAAACTGTCCACTAAATGCACAGACCGGACAGGGTCGATCCGAAGCACACCATTTCCGCCCGAATTTACTACGCACACGGCGCCTTTGCCTAATTTGACTAGGGAGTAACACAGACCCTAACAGTCCCGGCAAGCAAGTAAGTCAGGGTATAGCCGTCGTCCAAATCTGATTAGCATATCCACCCTACGAGATAAGATTCCCTTGCGCATTCGGTGACAGCGGAAGCCAGGAAGACGAATAACGTACATACTGACTGCGCCTTTACTAAAACAGACATAAGGACAAAATGCTGGCCAGTTAAACTGCTCCTCAACTCTTGGTTAAGATTTGAAAATTGCCGTCTGCTGCGACACGTAGCAAAATATTTCGCAGATGCCAATGTTTCATATTCTCACTGTCTAAAATACGAGAAAACTGGCTCGCGAGATTTTACCATGCCTCGAATAGGGAGTAAGGAACATTAACGCGACTCGCCTAAACGGAGACAGCAGTGGGGTTGACATATTTGGCTCTCTCTCTCTCTCTCTCTCTAGTATGAAACACCCAATCGATATTTTGCATAAGTGAATGGAAGTGTGTAATAACTGCCTCCTTGGATTTTCAAGGTTGTTGCCACAGCAAGGCCTCATCAAATGAGAAAAACAATAACTACAGGAAACCGCCGGTTGAGGAAATTTAGAATTCCTCGTAACAGTAACAGGATCATGGTCAATAATTTTCCCTTAGCCTCTGATTTCCGGTAAAAACATCTTTAACTGACTGGACAACTATGATGACGAAGATATGTTGAAGAACAAAACTTTACTGTTCGTCTTTTAAAACAAAAAAATCAAGAACAGGAGTAGATGGAAAAGGTACAGAAACGGTGCGTCAGTCATAAACGTGTTGTGTAGCGTCTGCTTTATGCCGCAGGAGCAACCTGAATGCAGCCGTTTAGGGGACCCTGGCGGACACGAAAAAGCCGCATGGAGCGAACTGACGCCAAATGAGCTACTCAGAGGCGGGCTGCATTTTCTTCAACATCTCTCCGATGGGTCCTGGTACCCGCTGCCTCAAAAAGTGAGGGGCTTGGAGGCACACTCCACCAAGGTGGAACGCGGGGCAGGAAACGGGAGAACAACGAAACGTTGCTGGTATAGACGGATTCACAGGCGTAAACCCAGGTTCCCAAGCTTCCCCTCTCCCCCAAAGGGGTCACCATGCAGGTTCGCCATAAGAGACTCAAGTGAAACCACCAGTATACGTTCGACATGTGCACCGCCAGAGACCAAGTGCTCATTCAAGTGACTTCGCATGCCCACAACTGCGCAGCCCAGTGCCACCAAAAACCCCCTAAATGGCTGCATTCATGTTCAATAGGTGTTGCAGCATCTCTAACACGATGGAAACCACAGCAGAGAGAAGTCCAGTACGGGCATTTTTGGCTGGGGTAATAGACTTGTGCTGCTTTCCGCAACTTTAAAACGACACCTGGAGAGCGGACATTGTCTGCAGTTTGTTATGATCAGGAGTTCCGGAGACTGTCGTGGACTCTCTGGCCTGCACTTCGCTGCCTCGACGAGGTAGCGTCGCATTCCCTTGGAATTTGGCAAGAATAACATCTTGCTCGCCCGGATGTACATTGACGAAAGTCGGTGGAGGGTGTCGATGAACCTTTGTGTAAGTAAAAGTCGCGTCATTAAAGACGAGGAAATTGTGGCATCGGGTAACTTTTACAAAAAAGAAAGAAACGGCAGTGAAACCCCGAAACGCAACACAACCACAATGATACCGGCAAATGATTTACGTGCGGATATCAGATTTAGTTAGTGGACACTCTAAAGAGGGATAGGTGCAGTATTTCACTTTATCATAAAAGAAGTCGAGAGTAAGTGTTAAAATAGAAAGAGATCAAAGGGTAACTTTCATAGGAAATAAGGAAACGGCAGTGAAACCTCAAAACGCAACACAACTGCACCGAGTTTGTCTCTGGTAAACGGGTGCGCATGGAGAGGGATAATACAGGCATATTGATTTATGCGTGGATATCAGATTTAGTTAGTGGACACCTTAAAGACAGCAGATAGATGCAACGTTTCAGTGAGCCACAAAAGAAGTTGAAGGTGAAAGTAATCTACCTGGATAGTGGATTCAGGAGATACAAAGGACGAGGGAAGACAGTGAAGTCTGCATATCGAAGTCCATCGAAATGAGTACGAGAACGGAGATTTGAGCAGAGCAGCAAATACCCCTCCCCGCAGGCCGCGATTCGCGACATCATCCAGTGCAGCGCGTGCGGGACTGTACCAAGTACATGCATAGTTCGCTTTTAGAACACTGGGGAAAGGCCGAGGCCTTCATGTGGAGGTCACTTGCTGTTCATCGTCTCAATGGTGATGAGATCAGAACCGTCGGGAGTTCCATCGTAAGAGCAAATGCGTACGGAATGCCGCTTTGTGGCGCGGAGGAGACGTGTGCAGGGGAAACCAACAGACCGCTAAGTATAAAACTGAAGAATGACAAAGGAGTTATATAGGAGGTTGGAACAAAGGAGATTGAGGAGGACGAAGAAGATGAAGTTTTACAGTCCTTTCAGTTATCGCGCGTATCCACCGCGAAGACTTGGGCCGACTTGTGTGTTACTTCACGTCTCCACATGGTCGTCGAATAATGGACTCCCATTCAACAATCAGAAATCAGTACAGTGTGTGTTTCGATTGCGACCCTCTCCCATTCCTGAACCTTTGGATATTCTTCCCAATGAGGTATCCTCTTTCCGGTACCTAGGTGTTACTTTCTCCTCAAATCTCTCTTCCTCTCTTCATATGGAAACCCTTTTAACAAAAATTCAAAAACTTGTTTATTACATTCGTCGGCTACGTTCATATCACACACCCCAGTCCTTAATCTGGCGATTCATAGATGACTGTATTCTTCCACTCATTCTTTATTGTTCGCCAGTTATTTTTCCAGCTCTACTTAAAAAAGACCTAATTATTTTTAAACGTGTCGTTCGAATGCTCGCCTCTGCTGCTGGTGTTTCCTATCATATTTTAGTTGATATCCTCGTGCAGCGACACTTCAATACGATGGAGCAATTTGCTGACCGAATTCTGAATGACACCGTCCATCCCCTTCATAATGAGTTAATGGCTGCGAAATCCTTACGCCCCATGCGTCGATGCTTCCGCCACATCCCTTGTCGCACTTCGGCTTATCAGAATTCCATACTGCCATTTATAGCCCGGTATCTCACCTGCAAAGATGCTGGAAAACAAAAGCTAAAACTCGATCTTGCACCTTAAAGTCCTTTTTTCTTCATACATAATTATGCCCACCTGTCCAATACCTGCTAATCTCTATGGTAATCACTGTGTATTGGAGAACCGTTTTTGCTGAAAGTTTTGAATGTTATTTTCAAAATAATGCATTTCACTCTCTAAAAAAATATTCTCACACCAATTGCCGGAGACGGCTTCCTCCAGTTTATCCTTCTTCCGGTCGGGATACCGACACGCGTAGTTCTTCAGACGGCGCGTCCGATTCGTGTTCAGTCACACCTGCTTCAAAGGAAGCGGAATGCGCCGCCAGCATATGGTAAGAAGAAGCGATCTCGGGAACCATGGTTGTAATGCCGTGCTGTTTCAAAAGCAAACAAGGCTCCATCGTCGGAGGTGAGTGTTATACTGCGTCTCACCGTTTCTCGTCCTAGGCTGGCAATCTTCACGACCCTGCGAACGCCTGTGTTTTCAACAGCCAGATAAGTGGCAGTAACGATCACACATTAGTCAAATCCGGGTTGTAGGCCTAGGACGAGGGCTAAGATCAGTGCAAACACGTGCGATGACGGCCAGCGTTCAAACGCCGCCCCCTGATGAGAGGTGAACCCATTTCAACAAGACGGTCACCACTCATAAATACTGTGAGGCGCGGTACAACACTCATCTCCGACAATGAAAGCTTGTTTGCTTTTGAAACGTCAGGGCAATACAACTATGGTCCCCTATATTGTCTCTTTTTCTCACTTATGTCCAGAGACGCGCCACGTGTGTCTGCCTCGCTTTCTATATTATCTTTATTTCGTCGGTGACAGTAACTTAAACATTTACGAGTAAAACGCCATTTTTCAATGAACGCCTTCCTTTTTCCATTATATCGGCTCGAAATATATACCACCTCTCCATATGCAATAATTTTGTCTGAATAAGATGTCTTGTGTTATGCCTTGACCGCGGTGGATAAAGGATTATGCGGCACTTCTCGCAGAATCCAGGAAGGTTCAAGAGGCAGCCGATGCAGAGCGAGCAAAGTACATAACAAACGTTAAGCAGAGACGAATTCCACTTAATGCAAGTCGGTTGTAGCATCAACAATCAGACAGCAAATTATGAGGCCCAAAACCCGCTGCCAGTGATGGAACAATCAGCGGTGGTCTACAGCATACCATACCAAGATTGTGACGTACTGATGATCGGTACCGACCGTGAAACAGTTGTCTGCGTCTGGCCTGTTGCACTCTTAGCGAGCTGCTCATGTATTATATGCGGTATGTGTCCTATGACACAGCGTTCGTTCTCGCTAGTAGCAAGCTGGTCAGGTGTGGCCAAGCGTGGCCATGGCAAGCCTAATTTGAAGAAATTTTGGAGGACCTCCCAATAGTGTAGGTGACCACTTCTGCGTTACAAAGTGTTAAATTAGTTGGCCAGCTCCACCGCCAATACTACAGTAAGTATGACTATTGTAGACATTTCGTAGGCCAAGAACGGATGAGAATGTGCCACACTAGTTTTCCACTGCGTCCATTGGACCCAGTCAGTCAACACCACTGCCCTCACTTGAGTAGACAACGCTTATCAGTTATTACTTTAGACACTCCACGACAATTTCGTCATATGTTTCCACGGCCGCAATTTCGACGGAATTTAGCCAGCAGGTGCAAAAGGACATGGCTGACATAAAAGGTCACTTAGTAAACACAAATGTCCGGCTAGCGGCACTTGAGTAAGACTGTGGACAATCTCCCTAACAAACTAGTAGGAAAAGGAACGATTTCCTAGCTGAGCAACTTATGGCTCTTCATAGCAGTGCGCAGCAGATGCAGGCAACACTATCAGATGTTGTCAATGCATTGCAGACTATTCTAGACATTTCGTAGGCCAAGAACGGATGAGAATGTGCCACACTTGTTTTCCACTGCGTCGATTGGACCCAGTCAGTCAACACCACTGTCCTCACTTGAGTAGACAACGCTTATCATTTACATGCTAAGCTAAATTCCGTCGAAATTGTGGCCGTGGAAACATATGAAGAAATTGTCGTGGAGGGTCTAAAGTAATAACTGATAAGCGCTGTCTACTCAAGTGAGCACAGTGGTGTTGACTGACTGGGTCCAATCGACGCAGAGGTAAACAAGTGTGGCACATTCTCATCCGTTCTTGGCCTACGAAATGTCTACAAGTCATACTTACTGTAGTATTGGCGGTGGAGCTGGCCAACCAGTTGGCTCATTCGGCTGGTTCGGCGAGTCCTCGTCGTCGGAGTCTGAGGTTAGTTTGCGAATATGTCTTCAAAGGAAAATTAGCGGTACATAACATGGTAGCACACCTGATCCTCTTGCCCCTACCCAACTGACGCGGCTCGGAACTGGAGAGATTGTCAGTATTCTCTGCTCTCCGCGCCGTCTGTCGAGCTTTTTGCAGCGTTAGGCCACTTCTTAGTACCTTGACGGCGTACGCCTTAGTATCATTCGGTGGCCGCTGGTTGTTCTCCAGCAAAATGCTGCGCTGACTGTGCTTTTTAGGCATAGTACGCTGCCCACGTTTTAGAACCAGGCTTCAGCCACTACCGCCACAGATTTGTCGTCGAAAAATTCCACCAAGGAATACTGCTTCACCAAAGCCTTCGGCACGTTTATAAGGCCCCATCTCGAATATGCTATTCAGGCCTGGAGACCGTGGACGCATCAGGATTACGATCTGCTCGAAAGGGTGCAGAGACGAGCAACAAAATTACTAAGACGTCAAAGTGCACTGCCATACGAGATCCGCTTAACTAACCTTAATCTCTATCCTCTCGGTTATAGGCAGTTGCGCGGAGACATGATACAAACTTTCCGTATCGTGCGCGCCTTGGATTGTGCCCTTCGGTGCGATGACTTTTTCCAACTCGCCACTACAACTCAACTCCGGGAACATCCCTTCCAGCTACGTGTGCCACAGGGAAGACTGAATGTGAGAAAATATTTCTTCTCCAACCGTGTCGTGGAACCGTGGAATAATCTGCCCGAGACGGTTGTTATGCCTCAATCTGTGGAGACATTTAAATGTCGCCTTGACAGATATATGCTGCAGCAACAAGCGGACTATGTGACTTTTTAGCCATGTGACTAGCGACACATGTGAACCAATGTATGCATTCACTTAATGCTGCAATTTCTTCACATTTTTGCTTGTTTATCGATTTTTTATGTACAAATAGGGAGTCCCAAGGCGTAAGCCCATTTCCCTCAAATACACTGATTGACTGACATCTGTAGCAAATGTTGCATCGTAAATCGTACAATGCAGAAATACATCTGTAAAAAAGCAGGCAGTGGAATATAAATCGCGGGAATGTATTTGTGTGAAGGAGGAGGATAAGGAAATACTGGTTGTTGTTTTTAAAGGACACGTACTTGCAAATAATGTCGGAGAATAAGCTAGTTATCAGAGTGTTAAAAAATGCATATGGAAGAAGAATGAAGGGACGTTACAAAAAGATTCTGACAGTCGCGGAAAGGGCAGTAAACTATGCTGTTACCCGACAGTGATGTCAGTGCACAGGTTCTGTGTCCGATGAGTATGACATTGTCGGGTGGCTCAGTGGAAAGGACATATCTCTTGTGAAAGATAGCTGTTGATTGACGGGGCAGTTTAAGGGGCCGTTGCACTCCCTCATCGTCGTCCAGCAGCATAGGGCGTGAAGACTGTTCAGACAAGCGTCTTTCCGAAAAACGCCTGTACACTTGTGCGGCTATGTTAGTGGGCCCTTTTATGCTACCACGAACGTGTCGTAAAAAAAGACTCAAATGAAAATGCTGAAAAATTATTCAGCACCCCAAACTGAACGACGTCAGCGTGCAAGTGGAGTAGAGAATGGACATTGTAAACAAGATCAGATGGCTTATAAAATGTGGAAAAATTATAGACAAAATTACACAAAAGTTGGCGGCCATAATCACCACAAGATATATGCAAGTTTGGGAGACAAAATATGTACACTGCCACGGTAAGTTGTAAAAAATGATTATAACGGGGTCCGTCTAAATACGGGGACAAAACAACGGGGCCTATGTACAGGAGGAACTGCCGATATTCGGCAGCCTTCCAAAACTCCAGGAAGTCAAGAGTTCTACACTTGCGTGAAAACTGTCGGTAGACAGTGGCTGCATAGCTTAATAGGTGCGTTTAATGACACAGAGTGGCCACCAAACCCAAGTCGCCAAGTATGCAACAATTTTCGCATAACACCGAGGCAGAGTGGGTGCATGTAGTCAATTGGGAAACAGGAAACCCTGTCGATGGGCAAATCATCGAAGGGAGATCTGCCCTTATGATGCGTTCCCTGACGTAAACGACCCGTCATCACGCAGACGGCCACTGTACTGCCGGAATGTCATGCGATTCGCAATATGTTTGCCTTTGTGACAGCATCTACAGCAGTTACGACTGCAAATACAAAATAGCTTACCTGTCGCATCCATAGTAGCCATTGTGGGCCTTCACCTGTCGTACATAACAGCGGGCTGGGGTGTCGCAAATCACATTGAGCAAATCCACTTTGATGACACTTTCTGTGCGTGGATCGCGCAGGCCCGTGGTCAGAAGGCCCTTCACTTCACAAACACAATTGCCCAGAAAGTCTTCCAACGGTTCGGGCTTACCAAAACCGCAACACACTCCAACGACAAAGGGCTGCCCAACATCGGGATGGTTAACACGAGCAAGGATCGGCCACAAGCACTGAGCAGACCCTTTAAAGACTTTCATTCCGTCAATGTGCAGTTGAACGTACACTTCAGGAATGCCCGTTAGTTGGCTCTAGCCACTTCCGCCACAGATTTGTCGTTGAAAAATTCCACCACGGAATACATCTGTAGCAAATGTTGCATCGTAAATCGCACAATGCAGAAATACATCTGTAAAAAAGCAGACAGTTGAATATAAATCACGGGAATGCAGTTGTGTGAAGGAGGGGGATAAGGTAATACTGGTTGTTGTTTTTGAAGGACACGTACTTGCAAATAATGTCGGAGAGTAAGCCAGTTATCGGAGTGTCTGATAAAACGGTGGCTTTAAAAATGCATATGGAAGAAGAATGAAGGGACGTTACAAAAAGATCCTGACAGTCGCGGAAAGGGCCGTAAACTATGCTGTTACCCGACAGTGATGTCAATGCACAGGGTCTATGTCCGATGAGTACGACATTGTCGGGTGGCTCAGTGGAAAGGACATATCCCTTGTGAACGATAGCCGTTGATTGACGGAACAGTTTAAAGGGCCGTTGCACTCCCTCATCGTCGTCCAGCAGCAAGGAGCGTGAAGACTGTTCAGACAAGCGTCTTTCCGAAAAACGCCTGTAAACTTGTGCGGCTATGTTAGTGGGCCCTTTTATGCTACCACGAACGTGTCGTAAAAAGACTCAAATGGAAATGCGTAAGTAATGCGTAAGTATTACGGCTTTCACCGAAGCACTATATACAAGCGGCTCTTGCGCCAGAGGCGGGCTTATTATGCTGCTATGGAGGAGCAACCCATCGCATCAACGTCTTCGGTTGCAAATGAGTCACCGGAATTGCAAATGCCCGAACTAATGCCGGATGTTTCAACGGGTAGTTGTATGTGCCTTATTTACTGGAATACATAGAACTGCCTGTAGTGGCAGGGACCGTGGACACAGTGGAAGGCAGAGGCTTGACGACGGATTTGCGCTAATTCTGTTTGAGGGCGAAATTGTCGTGGACCACAGCAAAGGATTTGTTTCAGATGCTGCGGCACTAGCAGCCGGAGCTACCCACTGACCCAAGGACGCTACTGCAGACGCCTCGAACTTGCGTTAGCAAGTCCCTGAAGAGAGGAAAATACGTTCACCTGGGTCTCAAACGCGGCCTACTCGACGAATTGCGCCTTTGCCCACTAACGGGCATTCCTGAAGTGTACGTTCAACTGCACATTGACGGAATGAAAGTCTTTAAAGGGTCTGCTCAGTGCTTGTGGCCGATCCTTGCTCGTGTTAACCATCCCGATGTTGGGCAGCCCTTTGTCGTTGGAGTGTTCTGCGGTTTTGGTAAGCCCGAACCGTTGGAAGACTTTCTGGGCGATTGTGTTAGTGAACTGAAGGGCCTTCTCACCACGGGCCTCCGCGATCCACGTACAGAAAGTGTCATCAAAGTGCATTTGCTCAATGTGAATTACGACACCCCAGCCAGCTGTTATGTACGACAGGTGAAGGCCCACAATGGCTACTATGGATGCGACAGGTACGCTATTTTGTATTTGCAATCGTAACTGCTGTAGATGCTGTCACAAAGGCAAACATATTGCGAATCGCATGACATTCCGGCAGTACAGTGGCCGTCTGCGTGATGACAGGTCGTTTAGGTTGCGAAGTCAGAGACCGCATCATAAGGGCTGATCTCCCTTCGATGATTTGCCCATCGACATGGTTGCCTGTTTCCCAATTGACTACATGCACCAAGTCTGCCTCGGTTTTATGCGAAAATTGTTGCATACTTGGGGACTTGGTTTTGGGTGGCCACTCTGTGTCATTAAACGCATCTATTAAGCTATGCTGCCACTGTTTACCGACAGAGCTTTCACGCCAATGTAGAACGCTTGACTTCCTGGAGTTTTGGAAGGCTGCCGAATATCGGCAATTCCTCCTGTACATAGGCCCCGTTGTTTTGTCCCCGTATTTAGACGGACCCCGTTATAATCATTTTTTACAGTTTTCCGTGGCAGTGTACATATTTTGTCACCCAACCTTGCATATATCTTGTGGTGATTATGGCCGCCAACTTTTATGTAATTTTGTCTATAATTTTTCCACATTTTATAAGCCATCTGATCTTGTTTACAATGTCCATTCTCTACTCCACTTGTACGATGACGTCGTTCGGTTTGGGGTGCTGAATAATTTTTCAGCATTTCCATTTGAGTCTTTTTTACGACACGTTCGTGGTAGCATAAAAGGGCCCACTAACATAGCCGCACAAGTGTACAGGCGTTTTTCAGAAAGACGCTTGTCTGAACAGTCTACACGCGAGGTTAGTTTGCGAATATGTCTGCAAAGGAAAATTAGCGGTACATAACATGGTAGCACACCTGATCCTCTTGCCCCTACCCAACTGGCGCGGCCCGGAACTGGAGGGATTGTCAGTATTCTCTGCTCTCCGCGCCGCCTGTCAGACTTTTTGCAGCGTTCGGCCACTTCTTAGTACCTTGACGGCGTACGCCTTAGTACCATCCGGTGGCCGCTGGCTGTTCTTCAGCAAAATGCTGCGATGCCTGTGCTTTTTAGGCCATAGTACGCTGCCCGCGTTGTAGAACCAGGCTTCAGCCACTACCGCCACAGATTTGTCGTTAAAAAATTCCACCATGGAATACTGCTTCACCAAAGTCTTCGGCACGTTTATAAGGCCCCATCTCAAATATGCTATTCAGGTCTGGAGACCGTGCTCGAAAGGGTGCAGAGACGAGCAACAAAATTAATAAGAGGTCCAAGTGCACTGCCATAAGAGATCCGCTTAACTAACCTTAATCTCTATCCTCTGAGTTATAGGCAGTTGCGCGGAGACATGATACAAACTTTCCGTATCGTGCGCGGCTTGGATTGTGCCCTTCGGCGCGATGACTTTTTCCAACTCGCCACTACAACTCACCTCCGGGAACATCCCTTCAGGCTACGTGTGCCACAGGATAGACTGAATGTTAGAAAATATGTCGGCGGAAGCCAAACAGGCAGTCACAGTGAGAATTCCTCTCTAGGCGGGTCGGGTACAACGGGATGGCGGTTTTGAGGGGAAGAACGGGCGGGGTAAACGGCAGAGGGCACTGGATTGGCAGTTGGATGCCGAAAAAATGTTGGAAATCGCAGAAAAATAATTATTTGTTTTAATGAAGTCAAAAATAGGGGAGGATGGCGCGCAAATAGGAAAACCGTAGACAATGCTCAATCGAAGGTGGGCTGGCCGGGGACGTGATGCGATTGGCCGCAGGGGCGAGTAAACCTGAACCGCCAAGCGGCTAACCAATGGGATCCATGGCGCCGCACTTGAAAGTGGTGTGCGTTAGATGGACACGAAGCATACGATGCGCAAGAAGGACGCGGGCGGACAGCGGTGTACTGCGGTTGGGTAAGAGTATTTGAATAAAGTGCTTATGACAATTGCGTCACTTCCCAGCCCCTTACTAACCCCCTCCCTATTTGGTATATCGGTGATCTCTACCGCATGCACCGTTTAATACGCATAACGCGAAAGATGGTTAGGATACCTGGACGTACTCCAACGCCACCGCACCAGCCTACAACAAGCTAGCGAACTCCCGAAGGTGGCGGCCGCTGTGTGTATTTTCGATGTTTTATGAGATTTATAAGTATCCATAGTGGGAGCAGTTTGTAGAACTACGTAACCCTTCTATGGTTAAATTTAACCACAGAGCGTACTGCCGGGTAGGTTTAAGTTGTGTGAGAAAAATGCAGACACAGTTACGGTATGTCCGAGTAGTTAGCGCGGACCGCGTGATGGTCTAATATCTATAAGCAACCGGTAATTCAACTCAACCTCATTCTTAGGTGTACTATGATATATGTAGGCACACATAAGGGAAAAAGAGGGGTAGGAGATATGTATAAGTCGACATCAGCAGTATCGTAAACTCCTACTGTTTTATACCTAGGTCGTCACCGAATGCAGGCGGACGTAGGCGCGGTCCTCAGTTGATTACACCGACGGCCGAGGACGAAATACAAGCTGTCCTTCAATCAGCAGGTGTCGTTCAGTACCTGCAGCGGTGGAGGTTGCTGGCCACCACCCTAGCCTGCCAATGTCGGCGTACTGTGCAGATGCAAGTGTTGCGGCAGCATGCGGACGGTTATGCATTCCGTTGTGGACACTGCAGACGGAGGCGGTGCCTGCGGACGGGGTCAATGTTCGTTGGTAGTAAGCTCAGCCTGCAGACACTGATGCGTATATGCTACAAGTTTGTCGAAGGTGTGCGTGCCAAGCGGTGTGCGGCAAGTGTAGGTGTCAGTAGAAATACGGCCATGGAATGGTACGGCATTTGCCGGGGGGCCTGCTCACACGCACTTCTATCCGCCGTAACCCAGGCGTGGAAGTACAAATAGACGAGACGCTCATAAGTCGCCGCAAGTATAACAGAGGACGGCCGCGGCGACAGTTGTGGGTCGTAGGTATGTACGATACACGCAGGCGGAAAGCCCTGTTTGAGCAGATTAACAACCGCAGCTGGGAGGCCCTAAGGCCCGTCATAAGGAAGTGGGTGGCTGCTGGTAGTGTTATCGTAACCCATGAGTGGAAGGGTTACACCCGCCTACCGTCGGAAGGTTATACGCACTACACTGGCAACCACCGTAGGGGCTTCGTGAATCTCACAACAGGACGGCATACGAACGCCATTGAAGCCTACTGGAGCAGGTTAAAGAGGAAGCTGCAGGAGTCTGGACCTGTCTGTGGCAGAGCAGTGTGGGCCCACCTAGATGAGGTTCAGTACCGCTTATGGTTCGACTTAAGGACTGACAACATGGCAGACTCCTGGGAAACTTTCCTACGACATTGGGCAGCAGCGTATCCAATAGAAGAGAGCCAACGAACGGTGACTGGGTAAGCTAACCAACCGAGGCGCATAGGGAAGACGTGAAGGCAAGTCTCTGTACTTCCTGCATTTACTCTCCATGCCTACCTACAATGAATGCAGCGGTTACCTACTGACGATGGGAAAGCTGGCGATTGAGGAGAGCCTGCAAACGGCGATTGGGTAAGCTAATCAACGAAGCCACCGACGGAAGACATGCAGGTAAGTCGCCGTACTTCCTCCATTAAGTCACAATGCTTGCATACGGTGAATGTGGCCGTTTAACGGATGGCGATGGGAGAGATGGTGATGAAGGAGAGCCAACCAACGACGATTAGATAAGCTAACCAACGGAGCCGCAGACGGCAGACGTTAAGGTAAGTCTCCGTAATTCCTCCATTAAGTCTCAATGCCTGCATACGCTGAATATGGCCGTTTAATGGATGGTGGTGGAAGTGCTGGCGATTGAGGAAAGCCAACAAACGGCGATTAGATAAGCTGGCCTACGGAAGCACAGACGGAAGACGTGAAGGTTAGTCTATGGGCTTCGTCCATTAACTCTCCATGGCTAACTACAGTGAATGTGGCCGTTATCTGCTGGCGATTAAGGAGAGGCAACCAACGCCAAATAGATAATCTAACCAACGAAGGCGCAGAAGGAAGTCGTGAAGGTAAGTCTCCCTACCTCCTCCATGTAGTCTCCTTGCTATCTACAGTCCATGTGGCCGCAGGTAACGACCGCATTCAATTGGATACGCCTCTGCCCAATGTCGTAGGAAAGTTTACCAGGAGACTGCCATATTGTAGCCGCTTAGGTCGAACTAGAGGCGGTACTGAACCTCATCTCGGTGGACCCAACACTGTTGTGCCGCAGACAAGGCCAGACTCGTACAGGTTCCTCTTTAATCTTCTGCAGTAGGCCGCTGTGGCGTTCGTATACAGACCCATTGTGGGATTCTCGACAGTCCTACTGTGGTTGACAGTGTATTATGTATAACCTTCCGACGGTATGTAGGCGTAACCCGTAAGCTCATCGGTTACGATAATACTACCGGCAGCCACCCACTTTGTTATGACGGGTCTTAGGACCTCCCAGCTGAGGTTTTTAATCGACTCAAATAGGGCTTTTCGCTGCGTGTATCGTACATACCGACGACCCACAACTGGCACCGCGGTCGTTCCCCGTTGTACTTGCGTTGACTGCTGAGCGTCTCGTCTATCTGCACTTCCAATCCATGGCAGTATTTGTACTGACACGTACACTTGCTGCACAGCGCTTGCCGCGCACACTGTTGACGAACTTGTAACATATGCGTAGCAGTGGTTGTAGACCGAGCTTGCTGCCAACGAACAATGACTGCGTCAACATGCATCGCCTCCGCCTGCAGTGTCTACAACGGAATGCATAACCGTCCGTATGTGCGGCAACAGTTGCATCTGCACAGTACGCTGACATCGGCATGCTACGGTGGTGACCAGCAACGTCGACCGCTGCAGATACTGAACGACGCCTGCTGACTGAAGGAGAGCTTGTATTTCATCCGCGGCGGTCAGTATAACCCGCTGAGGACGGCACCTACGTCCACCAGCAGTCGGTGAGGATCTAGATGGAGAACTGTGGAAGTTTACAAAACAGCAGGTGTCAACTTCTACATATCCCCCACCATCCGACGAATTCGCAGATGGATATCGTGAAGGTAAGCATATGTACGTACTGCATTTGCTCTCTATGCCTAGCGGCAGTCATTGTAACTATTACCTGCTGTCGATGGTTGAGGTGGTGAGCGAGAAGACCCAACCTAACGGCGATTGGGCAAGATAACGAACGAAGGCACCGACGGAAGACGTGAAGGTAAGCATCTTTACTTCCTCCATTTGCACTCCTAGCCTACCGACAGTGAATGTTGCTGTTACCGGCCGGTTAAAGAGGGGCATGGCGATTGAGGAGGGCCAACCATCGACGAATGGAGATGCTAACCAACGAAGACGCAGACGGAAGACTGGAAGGTATGACTCTGTACTTCGTCCACTTACTCTCCATGCCTACCTACAGTGCCTGTGGCCGTTACTGGCCGGTCATAGAGGGAGTTGTCGATTGAGGAGAGCCAACCATCGACGATTGAAGAAGCAAACCAACGAGGCGCGGACGGATAGCTGGAAGGTATGACTGTGTACTTCGTCCACTTACTCTCCATGCCTACCTACAGTGCCGGTGACCGTTACAGGCCGGTCAAAGAGGGAGCTGTCGATGGAGGAGAGCCAACCATGGACGATTGATGAAAGCAACCAACGGAGGCCCAGATGGAAGACGTAAAAGGAAGACTCCATACCTCGTTTATTTACTGTCCATGCCTACCTACAGTAATGGTGCCATTGTCTGCTGGCGATGAGGGATTCCTCACGGAAGATGCATGCTCAGGTTGACAGGGAGTACCGCATGGTATTGGAAGCGTGTAATCGCGTACCCTTTTTATTGTACACCTGACTGTTGAATGTTAATGTTGTGGCAAACCGGCTGCCCAAGGCAGTCGGGGACGATTTCCCCTACCTCGCTGTATGTCCAGTGTATTGTTCCTTTTCCTAATTCGGAGTAAATATTGCATTTGTCTATGGCGTTGTTCGTGATTACGGTACTGCTAAGCCTCCGGAATGAGGGAAGGTGTGATACGCAGTTGAGTAAATATCATCCACAGGGCTGCGTTAGCTGATAGGTGCCTATGGATCACTAATGGGGGAATTGAACGGACGTTGTCTGTGGGATGGGCGGCTATCTCTAGCAGAGGTAACGTAGCCATCATCGCACGGTATGGATTGCGACTGATCGACCAACCTTGGGGGCTTGGTACGTGAACATATTTACCTACGTAGAATAATGCAATGACGTCCACTAAGCCTCGTCGATAAACCCTTGTAGGTCAGGAAGGGAGTGATTACGGAAGGCCTTTAGAGCAGGAACTGGGAGGTACGTAGAGACTGTCTTAGGCCGCTGCCGGCCATGGTAGACGATAAGTAGGAATCGCTGTAGCTGGTAACGGGCGACATGAACCACCAGCGGGGAAGGGCATATCAGGTCAACTAACAAAGCCGGTTGGGAGGGACAGTAGACTGTGAAGCAGGCGGAAATGGAAACAGCCGATGGAGGAATTGTCGATTGCGGTAAGCTTGCGTAAAGGGGAGCGGGACTGCGGGGATTGATATTGGGACGGCGTAGATTACAGGCCTTTGTAAGGGGGGAGGGGGAAAGGCGTGGGCTAGGCGGTGAGGGAGCGGTAGGGGTGTATCTAAATACCGCAGTGGTCTAAGAGCATGATGCCTTTGGTAGCAGCTACCCCAAAGTGACAGTCGTATGTTTGGACGGCGTAGGCTGTAAGCCTTTTGTTCGGGGGGGGATGGGTGTTGCAGAATATGCGGAAGGAAGGCCTGTAGGGTCATGTATACGCCCGGAAGTGGATGCCGGGCTGGAAACGTTGGTAAACAGCTGACGTAAGTGGTAGTCTGACTGACGAAATGGGAATGCTGGCAACTCAGTTAGGTGGACTACGGAATGCGAGGGAGGGGAGGGGCGGCGGCAAAAAAATACCACAAGCACACCTACTGATCAAACAATAGTACGTAAGCTAGCCGTGATGGAAGACCTGCGGCCGCTTATTTGGCACCGGTCAATATTTCTTCTCCAACCGTGTCGTGGAACCGTGGAATAACCTGCCCGAGATGGTTGTTATGTCTCAATCTGTGGAGACATTTAAATGTCGCCTGGACAGATATATGCTGCAGCAACAAGCGGACTATGTGACTTTTTAGCCATGTGACTAGTGACATATGTGAATCAATGTATGCATTCACTTAATGCTGTAATTTCTTCACATTTTTGCTTGTTTATCGATTATTTATGTACAAATAGGGAGTTCAAAGGCGTAAGCCTATTTCCCTCAAATGCACTGATTGACTGACATCTGTAACAAATGTTGCATCGTAAGTCGGACAATGCAGAAATACATCTGTAAAAAAACAGACAGTGGAATATATATCGCGCGAATGTAGTTGTGAGAAGGAGGGGGATAAGGTAATACTGGTTGTTGTTTTTAAAGGACACGTACTTGCAAATAATGTCGGAGAGTAAGCCAGTTATCGGAGTGTCTGATAAAACGTTGGCTTTAAAATGCATATGGAAGAAGAATTAAAGGGACGTTACAAAAAGATCCTGACAGTCGCGGAATGGGCAGTAAACTATGCTGTTACCCGACAGTGATGTCAGTGCACAGGGTCTATGTCCGATGAGTACGACATTGTCGGGTGGCTCAGTGGAAAGGACATATCCCTCGTGAAAGATAGCTGTTGATTGACGGGGCAGTTTAAAGGGCCGTTGCACTCCCTCATCGTCGTCCAGCAGCATAGGGCGTGTAGACTGTTCAGACAAGCGTCTTTCCGAAAAACGCCTGTACGCTTGTGCGGCTATGTTAGTGGGCCCTTTTATGCTACCACGAACGCGTCGTAAAAAAGACTCAAATGGACACTTCTCGCAGAATCTAAGAAACTTCAAGAGGCCGCCGATGCAGAGCGAGCAAAGTACATAACACACGTTATGCAGAAGCGAATTCCACTTAAAGCAAATCGATTGTAGCATCAACAATCAGACAGCAAATTATGAGGCCCAAAACCCGCTGCCTGTGATGGAACAATCAGCGGTGGTCTACAGCATACCATGCGAAGGTTGTGATTCAAGGTATGTTGGTGATAGGGGCAAACGCTTCGGCACAAGATCGCACGAGCACCAGCTTGCAATCAACCGCAAGGATAAGCTGTCGCTGGTCTATGGCCACACACTACAGCAGAACCACAGTGTCGCCTTCGAGAAAGCTAGGGTGATCGGCCGAGCCAGCGATAAAATCACCAGACTGATGCTGGAGAGTTTGTTCTCGACTGGCACGCCCAACCGAGACATAGAACCACATCCCGCCTACCAGGCGCTACGCACAAGGCTCGAGTCAGTACAGGCGGCCAACGGGACAGACGAGAAGAGACACACGGGCAGTGTACATATTTTGCCACTCAACCTTGCATATATCTTGTGGTGATTATGGCCGCCAACTTTTGTGTAATTTTGGTCTATAATTTTTCCATATATTATAAGCCATCTAATCTTGTTTACAATGTCCATTCTCTACTCCACTTGCACGCTGGCGTCGTTCGGTTTGGGGTGCTGAATAATTTTTCAGCATTTCCATTTGAGTCTTTTTTACGACGCGTTCGTGGTAGCATAAAAGGGCCCACTAACATAGCCGCACAAGTGTACTGGCGTTTTTCGGAAAGACGCTTGTCTGAACAGTCTACACGCCCTATGCTGTTGGAGGACGATGAGGGAGTGCAACGGCCCTTTAAACTGCCCCGTCAATCAACAGCTATCTTTCACAAGGGATATGTCCTTTCCACTGAGCCACCCGACAATGTCGTACTCATCGGACATAGACCCTGTGCACTGACATCACTGTCGGGTAACAGCATAGTTTACTGCCCTTTCCGCGACTGTCAGGATCTTTTTGTAACGTCCCTTCATTCTTCTTCCATATACATTTTAAAGTCACCGTTTTATCAGACACTCCGATAACTGGCTTACTCTCCGACATTATTTGCAAGTACGTGTCCTTTAAAAACAACAACCAGTATTACCGTGATTTATTTTCCACTGTCTGCTTTTTTACAGATGTATTTCTGCATTATACTACTTACTACGCAACATTTGCTACAGATGTATTCCGTAGTGGAATTTTTCAACGACAAACCTGTGGCGGTAGTGGCTGGAGCCTATATATATATATGATAGTGGGCGCTCACCGATCAGGTTACGGAACATGCTCGTTCCGTTGTGCCTTGGGGCTCATATTAGAACCGTCGCAGGCAGTCGCACAGCGACTAGTAGTAGATATAGATGAGATGGTACCGACAAAGACAAGGGAGACCGGAATGGCCATTTCTGGCTTATTAGCCGTCATCAGCCAGTGATACCCAACCCCATGTGTGGATCACTTGAGATTCGAACCCGGGATCTTTGGTCATGGCTCTACCATTGAGCCACGGGCCCGTTGTCCTGTCGGTTGTGATCGGGAATATTAATTATGATAGTGGGCGCTCACCGATCAGGTTACGGAACATGCTCGTTCCGTTGTGCCTTGGGGCTCATAAGTCTTCCATCTCATCTATATCTACAACTAGTCGCTGTGCGACTGCCTGCGAGAGTTCTAGTATGGGCGCACAAACCTACGACTACTTTGCGCTCTCAGCTGGTACATCCTAAGGATAGGGAAAACCAGCTGAACAAGAAAGAGGTCGTCTACAAGATACCGTGTGATGCATGGGCTGACGTCTATTGTGGCCAGACTGGAAAATCCGCGTCAACACGCATCCATGAGCACCAGTTGGTAGTAAAGAGACGAGACCATCTGTCTCAGGTAGCCATGCATACTCTGGACACCGGGCAGACTTTCACTTGGGACAAAGCTCGCGTTGTCGCGGTCTGTCATTTCAAGAAAGGCCGAGAATTTCTCGAGGCAATGCACTCTGATGAATCATGCATCAACCGGCATATCGAGTTGGATGTCGTGTACAGAAACCTGAAGGAGAAATGGAAGAGAAGGGAGCCAACCAGCTCAGGCTGATACACGGCGGCCGCCAACCGGCGCACACGCCATGAAAGTATCGATTTTTGTGCACTCTTGACGTTAGCTGTTTCTTGCTTTCACATTTGCTTTCCGCTTGCGTCTGACGACGACCTGGGGAACTAGCGTCGAAAATTTACGCAATAAACCCTCTTGTCCCACAGAACCCATCTCTTTTCAACATATATATATATATATGCCAACCGCAAGGACAAGCTGCCTTTGATCTATGGCCACATACAAGAACT